CCACACAGTGCTCCCTTTTAAGACAAAATTGGCATATTAGTGTTCAGTTAAACAAAATGAAAACCATGGCATCTTATTTCTAATTGCTACTTCTATTCATTTCCTCAAAATTTCCTATATGCCTTTCCAGCAGCACAAGTCCAAGTTTATACATTCTAATTACTTCAGTACCGCTCTGTATATAAGAAATGTCAATGTTATATAGAGATGAGAAATGTTTAGAAAAGACTCAAAACCAGATTACTAAGAAAATCTACAGGGTCTTAAGGAATTTTGCAATCCCTTTATGTTATTTCAAACACTTTCTTCTCCTGCAGAATTTTACATAGTTAAACATTTTCTGTGTATGAAATTCTTACTGAATGTGGTAGGAAAGTAAAGGACTTGACAGGATTTAACAAAAAATAGGTGTGTCACCAGGAAGACGAGAAACATCCATAAAATAAAAATCCCTGTCATTACAATGTTTTATAACCTTGATGGAGCAGAAAAAGCAAGCAGCACTCTTTTGGTCCCGCATACACATTTTCATAAAGTGTTATTGATAGCGTTATGAAAAAAACACACTTTAGGCTTCATCTTCTTTGCCCAAGTTTACATGTGATATTCTAAACTGGGCCCCAAAACCAATTAAACATATAAGAGCCACTGACCTCAAAGCTTATCTAACTTTCTCTGAATTGTGTAATAAAGGATGAGTTTGTACGGAACTGTTTATTTCTAAAATTAAACTTAAAAATATATTTTATAATTGTGATGCACTATAAAACCTGAAAATATTATTTTGACAGTTATATTTTGAGGAACACAATAACAATTAGAAAAAATGCATTTATTGTAATACATTACTGAAAGAATATACTAAATGGATTTTAAACAAAATTACCATACTACCAAAAGATTTATATAAACTCTTGTAAAACCTATTGTAAAAGATATCCAATAATATTAGCTATACTACATTAGGTGCTTTAAAATATTAACATTCAATTGATAGCCACTAGATGAGTTATTAAATTCAATGCTATTGTAACCCAGGTAATTTACACCAGAACTTGCACTGTAAAAATGGTTAAAAGCTCTGTACCAACAGAACAGAGTATGTGTAGCTCAGGGTTGAACTGTGGAGTCCTTGGGGTTCTCTGAGCTTGGTTGTTTTCTTGCAAA